CTGGATGTACGGCAAGAGGAGCTAGGAGCCATGGTTGACAAGGAGATGGCGGCCACCTCTGCAGCCATTGAGGATGCTGTGCGGAGGATTGAGGTGAGGACTGAGCATCAGGGCTCCCCCAGTCCCTGCTGGAACTGGAGGGGATAGAGGCTGACTGAGCAGGGGCAGGGAGGGTACCCTTGGAGTCTGCTGGCTCATTCTCTGTCACTGGTAATAGGACATGATGAACCAGGCCCGCCATGAGAGCTCGGGAGTGAAACTGGAAGTGAATGAGAGGTGAGTGCAGCTTCAGTCCCCAGAGCCCAGCGTGGCACATTCCTGCCTACTGAGCCGGCCAGAAAGCGGACTGGGCACGAGGCTGCACATGTCCCCTGCCCTGCTGTCGCAAGGCCACACTACAGAGCTGTCTTCTCTTTCTGTCCCTCCCCAGGATCCTCAACTCCTGCACAGATCTCATGAAGGTGAGTGCAGTCGGTGGTGATTCCAGGGCAGGCTCTGTGTTGGGACGACCTGGAAAGTCACATCTTGGTCTTGGCAGGCCATCCGGCTCCTGGTGATGACCTCCACCAGCCTGCAGAAGGAAATTGTGGAGAGCGGCAGGGTGAGCAGGACAGGCTATTGTCTGGCAGCCCCCCTGGCTGGGCCAGCAAGAGACATAACCTTAGAGCCCCTGACCCCTTTGTGCATGATGCCCTCCACCACACAGTGTCTGTTGCCACAGCTAAAAATGCCCACACCTTGGGGAGGCTTCTGGGGACATCCTCTGGGTACCTATTTCCTACCTGAAATGGCCTGGATTCTGTCTTGTTCTTTAATCGCCACTAGGGGGCAGCAACACAACAGGAATTTTATGCCAAGAATTCACGGTGGACTGAAGGCCTCATCTCCGCCTCTAAGGCTGTGGGCTGGGGAGCCACACAGTTGGTGTATGTTGCCCCAGGTGGGGGTGGGGTGGGCCAGGCGCTAAGGTCTGGGGTATGGGGTTGCCCTACTGTTGATGGTGCAGAGACCTGGGCTCTGACTGCCCCCACCCCTCAGGGAGTCGGCTGACAAGGTGGTGCTTCACATGGGCAAATACGAGGAGCTCATTGTCTGTTCACATGAGATTGCTGCCAGCACGGCTCAGTTGGTGGCAGCCTCAAAGGTGAGCAAGGCTGTGCTGATGTCTGCCACCCCAGGCTGTGTCAGGCCTGGGCTTGGGGCCTTCACCGGCTGCCTATGGCCAGCAAACCTGTGCCCACTGTTCCTGCAGGTAAAAGCTGACAAGCATAGTCCTCATCTGAGCCGCCTGCAGGAGTGCTCCCGCAGCGTCAATGAGAGGGCTGCCAACGTGGTGGCCTCCACTAAATCGGGCCAGGAACAGATCGAAGACAGAGGCGAGTACTCGAAGGGGCTTCCCAGAGCTGGTGGGAGAGCTCCCTCAGCTTACTCCCCCTTCTCCCTCCCCCACCAGACACCATGGATTTCTCAGGCCTGTCCCTCATTAAGTTGAAGAAGCAGGAGATGGAGACGCAGGTGAGTGCCCTAAGCCCCCCCCCCCCCACCGCCCGCTGCCAGGCTCGAAAGCCCCTGGGACTCGGGCAGCGCTGAGTTGGCTTTGCGGCCTGCCTGCAGGTGCGAGTCTTGGAGCTGGAGAAGACCCTGGAGGCAGAGCGTGTACGGCTTGGGGAGCTGCGCAAACAGCACTATGTACTGGCCGGGGTGATGGGGACACCTGGTGAGGAAGAGCCCAGCAGACCCAGCCCAGCTCCCCGAAGTTCAGCCACTAAGAAGCCACCCTTGGCCCAGAAACCCAGCATAGCCCCCAGGCCAGATAACCAGGTGCCGGGCATCAGTGCCGGGTTAGGGAGGAGTGTGTGTGCTTTTGAGTGTGTGATGATTGTGCACATGGATGGCACATGTGCTTCTGGCCTCGTCTACTGAGCCCCTCATCTTTGACCCCTGCAGCTCAACAAAAAGGATGGTGTCTACCCAGCTCAACTTGTGAACTACTAGGCCCTCTGAAGTGGTCTTCAGCAAGATGGCTGGTGGCCATGCCTGAGCCTCACGTAGCTATCTGGCAGTGGTCAAGGGGCCTCTGAGAGGCCTCCAACTTCTGCACTTAGAGCCCAAAGCAGCCTTCACCAGCCCAAGGGGCCTCCACTCCATGGGATAGTTCATCTGGATTTGAGTCTATTTATCTTTAGTAGGAACTGCCCAGAGCAGCCGGACCCAGCAGGCCTGAGCCACAACTGCAGTGAACATCTGGGATGGTGTGATATTGTGTTAGTTCTCTCTTCCTAAGTCAGCACACTGGGAAAAGGCCACGTGTGCCAGGAGCCTCCTCCCTGCCTCTGAACTCAAAAGTCTGAGGCTCTAAGGGAACAGGAGAGGGTCCCCTGCTGGCTTTTGGGGACAAGGGAATGTCCTGTGGCCCTCAAGGGAGATCAGGTGGGCTCGGCTGTCATCCTCAGGGGCCTGGTGCTGGGACATCGTGCTTGGAGCCCGGCAACAGGGTGGCGGGGCTGCTGCTGGGCTGTGCTGGGGCAGCACTGGCTCAGGTGCTGCCTCTGCTCACGAGTTTCCATTCTCCTGGCCACTCCCCTACTTCCTGTTTTCCACTCTCCTGGCCTGGCTGCCCTCACTAGTGTGGCTGCTCATCACCCACCTTCATGGGTAGATTGCAGCACTGCTAAAGCAGGGCCCTTTTAGCTCAGCAAGAAGCATTAAAAAACAAGCCACAGCCCCCTTTTCTGGGGGCTCAAGAACTCCTGTGGGGCCCTCAGGTGGAACAGACTTAGAGGCCTGGCCTTGCCTGCCCCTGACAGTTTGAATACATTTGTGTTTCTTGAACCTGAGGGGGAAAGATGGGGGTGGGGGATATCCAGGCCACCAACAGAGGCAGCAGCTGGACTGGATAAGTGCCCAGCTTCCCTCCAGCTGCCTGCCCTGTGCCCTGGGAAGGCTACCAACCGTGGGCCAAGGTCCAGGGCTGTGGGGGGAGCCAACTTCTTTGCCCTGTGTCTAGTATTCCCTGTGTTTGAGTTCCATTGGCAATAAACCCTGACTTTTGTCACCAGTGCCCTGGTGAGGGCCCGCGCCAGGCTTTTCATTTCTCCAGAGATGCACAAACTTGTCTGTAGTTGACACTAGAACCTGAGGACAGGAAGACCCTTGTTAGTATAGCTAGTGGCCCTCACCAAGTACCTGTCTTCCTGTAGATTACTATAGCAAGGGCTGAACTAGCCATCACCGCCCCATCCTCCCCAAGGCCTCCCTAACTGAGGCCACTGCTATTCCAGCCTGGAAGCCCTGTGCTCTCCCTAGGGCCTCACCAGTTAGCACCAGGGCACCACATCTGAGACCGTTTGTCCCTTGGTTACAGTTGGCAGTTTCCAGACTTCTAGGGTTTGAGCTGGTGGGTGAGGACCTTGACCTCCATGCCACACTCTCCAGGTTCCAGATCAACACTCAACTTGCAGCCCCAAAAAGAGGTGGCTGGGGAGGGAGGCCCTCATCCACACACTCAGCATTTATAGTGTGTGCTGTTGAGGCAGCCAAGCTTCCTGAGCAGCAGCGTGGAAGCCTGTGTTCAAGTGCTTTGCAAGTATGAGGCTAATGGAGCTGGCTGCCAGGTCTGAATCATGTTTTTATAGAACTTCAGAGTTTTCATATTTATATGCCAGAAGAAATTGATCTGAGCTAGCTCGTGACCCAAAGGGTCTGACCTTGCATCCTGGGGCTCCAACCTAGAACCGGAGACGTCACTACAGGTGTCCTACACCGAAGTCAATCCTGCACCTCCAAATTATTCATCATCCTGTGGTCCTACTCGTAAGTGAAGAGGGCCCCAGGGGAGAAAAGGATCCAGTAGGTGGGAGTTCATAAAGATTCAAATCACCAGGCAGATGGTGGTGTCTGTCACACACCTTTTAATCAGGCACTGGGGCAGAGGCAGGTGGATCTCTTGAGTTCAAGGCCAGCCTGGCCTACACAGAGAAACTTTGTCTTGGGGGAAAAAAAAACCCTCAAAATTACTTTGAAATCCAGTATAATTACCAGGGAAGGGCTAGTTTGGGCTATAAGCTCCTAGCAGCCACTGAAAGAAACTCATTGTTTTTTCAAGGTAAATTGACTTCTCAGGACAAACTTCCTTCTTCCTGCTATGACCACAGGCATCTCCTGTTGCCATTATGGGGCTGTATATGTGAGCATCTTCCTCGGAGGTCATAGGACAGCTTGAACAGGGTTGCTCTTGGATCAAATCCCTTGTCGGGGCCTTGTGGTCTAGACACACACACAGCTCAGCAAAGGTACACAGCCCACTCTAGTAAGCAGCAGGCACACAGCCGAGTCGAGGGTGGCATGCACAGGAACAAGGCCCTTCCCTCCCTCCCCTTAGCATAACGAGGCAGCACAGGGTGGGGCTTGGGTGGGAGGGGACACTGCTCTTGAAACAATGTTAGAGCCCCTGAAACCCACAAAGCTGGGTCCTTACTGTATGATCAGCTGTACAGACACTAGGGACAGCCAGTGCCTTGAAGTCCTCAGCGCTGTGGCTGCAATCCCAAACAGTCCTTTGCCACAAACATTCTCTGACTACTATCTGGCTTATCAAATACAAGAGCCTAGCTGGGCACTGATGGTGCACGCCTTTAGTCCCAGCACTCCAGAGGCAGGCAGATCTCATGAGTTCAAGGCCAGCCTGGTGTACAAAACAAACAAAAAAAACCTTATGGCTAATGCCAGGGACCCAGAACTCACCACAACTTTGTTTTTTTGAGATGGGTCTGCATCTCTCACTGGCCTGGAACTTGTTGTGTAGAGCAGGCTGGCCTTGAACTCACAGCAATCTTCCTGCCTATGCCCAGCCATCAGCCTTTTTTTGTTTGTACACCAAGTAATCATCACTGCCCTTGCTGGATCTGTGGTCACTGGCACTCTAGAACCATGTCACAAACATCCCCAGGCAAAGCAATGGCAAGCTGAGAGGGAAAAATTTGAAGAGAAATGCAACAAACTGAAATTAATAATTCTCAATTTATTAAGAGTTCTACAGCTTTACAACCCCAGTGCCAGCTATGGCTCTAGGCAGTGCTGGCAAGGTCAGCCTGGCAGCCCCTTCACCACATCCACCTGGAGCACCCATGTGGCTGCAGCCCATGGCTGGGCAGTGGGCATTCCTGATGGCAGCTGGCAGCAGAGGTGTTAAGGTGGCACATACAGCTTTGTCACGTTACAGAATAGATCCAGTGGGGTAGAGTCCAAGTCCATGAGCAGGAGTACAGGACTTGGGGACAAAGGCTGGTGGCCCTGCCAGGGACAGGCTCTCTAACCAGCTCTGCCTTGACTCTGTCACCTTGGGCTGCAGCCAGCTGGCAGGGTGAGAGAGGGCTCTAAGGTCTACCAGCAAGTACACGGCCCTCTTCTGGAACAGGTGTGGTTATTGCCCTCTCCCAGCTGGGCCCTGGGAACTCTGCATGTGGCACCTGCAGATGAGACCCCAGAGAGGAACCCACCAACCCTATGAGGGGTTTCCCCAAATCCCTTCCGCGCCCTTGGCCAACACTTGCAGCACCGAACACTGCCCCAGAGTGAAGATGACCGGCCTCTGACCTACCACAACGCAATGAGGCCCAACAGGGCAGCCACGGCTGGCCCACTGCAGGCGCCTGAATCCTGGCACCGAGTGAAGCTAAGGCACAGCATGGGCACTGACAGATGTGACCATGTACTGCTCGCCTGACAGGAAGCGGTACGCAATAAATCTGTGTTTTTAACCAGCTCGAAACAGTATCTGTGTTTTTAAAAAAGTTTCCCTGAATGGTCTTGAGAATGTCAAAAAAGTTTTCTTTTCAAATATAAAACAGGAAAATTACAAGTGTAGTAAAAACACTGAGTATTTTTTTTCCTCACAGAAACCGTCATGAGGCTGAGATGTGAGGTGAGGGCGGAGGACTGAACTGTGCAAAGTCCGGCTCACACTGGCCTCACACTCAGACTCACACCCAGAGCCACAGCTCTCCTGGCCTCTGCACAGCAGCCAAGTGCAAACTCTGCTCATGGTTTTGAACCAAGAAAGCATCCAGTATGTAGAGAGGGAAGGGTGACTAATGACCTGCCCAGCACAGACTAAATTAACAGCACAGCTGCCCAGCAGCAAGGCCTGGCCGTGGGTGTACGTTCCAGGCTGGCCAGTATAAACCAGCCTTTACCAGCGCCACAGGAGCTGGTGGACCAGGACTTGAAAACATATAATTAACCATGCTTTTTAAATAAAGCTGCAACGTGAGGGCTGTGATTCTGAATTGGAGTGGGGGGTTATCTCCCCAAATGCACAAGTCCATCAACACTAGTTACTTAGAAATCACACCCAGAACACAGACTGATGGGACAGCAGGCGTGCCAAACTCTGGCCTGGCACGAACAGAGCTCCCTTGGTCCACAAAACTCACTCTCTATTACTCACCGTGGACCTACAGTTCTAAAATCAGATAGACACACTGGCCCAGGGCACCCAAGCCATTGGCCCCGATGCTCAATCCCTTTGCAGAGCTTGGCACAGCAGGCAGTGTCTTGCAGGAAGAAGACACAGGAGTTCACTGGAGGATGAAGCCTGGTTGGTGCGGGGCCAGCCGTGGAGGGGGTCTCTGGGGCAGGGCTGGCGGGTATGGTGACACCAACTGTGCAGAGAATCCTTGCTGAGAGGGGAGGCCCACCCTGGGGGGCAGAGGTGGGCACTGCAATCCTGGGTATGGAGAAGCCTGTCCTGAGCCCATGGCAGCAGTGAACGGGGTGGCTATGTGTCCCGCAGGTGCTGGGGGCGGAGGTGGAGGAATGCGCCGAGGCACAACACAAGGGAGCCCAGTGGCCTCCAGAGGGGGATAGGACAGGGGGGTGGCAGTTACTGGCTCGGGCACCCTGGGTAGCACTGGGGCCCCGGCCTGTGGGAGTCTCTGTCCCTTCAGCACCATCTCCTGGAGCTTCTCCACTTTCACACGACGCATGTGTGCCAGCTTCCGCTTGCTCTGGTAGACATCGATGAAGGCATCCAGAGGAAGCTCTCCATCCAGAAACTTCTCTGCCATGTTCTAGAAGAAGCAGGAGAAATCTGATTACAAGATGGGTCAACTGTTAGGAAAAAAAGCTCCCTTCACAGTCCAGGCAAAAGGAAAGAAAGAGGCTCTCAGCTCCCTGCAGTGCCCTCCTGGGAATAGACCCTGGTGCCTGTCTTCTGCTACGGGCTCACAGCTGCAAACCCTGGAGGTGAGCCTGGGGCTAGGTGATGCTAGCAGGAACCATCACCAGGCAGAGTCAGGAAGATGAGGCGGGTGGTCCTTTGCTGGTTCCACCCTCCAGAACTGCAGCAGACAAAGCGCATGCCTGACGGCCAGCTCTCTACTCCAGAGACAGCTACTGCCTCGGCCCTGCCCTCTGGTTTCCACCTGGCTGTACTGTGACCAAATGACTCACCCTGGACAGGGTCAGCAGCACAGAACCCTGCTTGTGGCTCTTAGGGCCTGCCAAAGCCTAACGGTTAGTCAGGCCAGCACAGCCTGACCTGAGCAACGTGCAAGGGCACTGACTCATTTCCTCCCTGACAAGGCTCCGGCCATGTATCCAGTCAGCCATGTCTGAAAGGTTTTGCCCACAGCAGATGCCTCAGTCACCGACATCTGACATTGGTGAGTAGCAGGCATACTAATCTGGTCTAGTCACACTGACTGGACAAGGTACCCCAGTAAGGTCACCCAGCCTTACCTCAGTGTCTTCCTCAATCTTGGCCCCTTCTGCTTGAAGAAGTGCTAACAGAGTCTCCAAGGAAGCACTGTTTGACTGTTTATCTGGGAAAAGCAAAAAACACGATGGCACGAGGCAGCACATCCCAACCCGAAGCCTCGCAGTTTCCTTGTTAGAGAAAGTCACTAGAAAGGCAACAGGAGCTGACTTTCCAGGATCCTAAAGTAAAGCCTCAAATACATCAGAGGGACATGCAGGGAACAGCTTCCAGGAGGCAGAGCACAGGGTCATACCCACAGACACCCACTCACACTGTAAGATACAATTTCACCAAACTGGCCAGGCAGCCAAATCCCTGGAACCCACCTCCTACAGCTGCACTGGTATTTTGTTTGCATGTATGTGTGGGGATGTCAGATCCCCTGGAGTTCCAGACAGTTGTGAGTTGCTATGTGGATACTGGGAATTGAACCTGGGTCCTCTGGAAGTGCTCTTCACCTATAAGCTATTTCTCCAGCCTTAGTAATCTAGTGTCCCAAGAACAGTCAGAAGTACTGAGGTGCTGCTTTACCCCTGCAATTCCAGCACTTGAGAGGTAGAAGCAGGAAGGTCGTCCTTGGCTAGGGTTCCTGTCCAACCAGGGCTGCATGAGACACTGTCCTAACACATGTGCATTCTCAAGCACATGCTTAGTCCCTCTGTTTCTGTGTAAAGTTGAAGCTTGCCATGACATCTCAGCAGGACGTTGGACATTACGGCTATAAGGCTCTTCGGCCATTTTAGCCACACACACTGGAGCACTGGCTGACTACTAGGATTCAGAAGGCTGCCTTTTCTTCTACACTATCTGGAGCAGGCGCAGCCTTCGGTGTAGAAAGGGACTCTTCCCTAAGCCAGTAGGGCGATTTATACACAAATTATTGCTTGTTACAGCAGAGTCATTGTTATGACCTGAAATTTTTTTTTCATGTTATCTTCCTGGTAGGGTAGTGCTTGAACTATGTATCATCCTTCAACTTTCTCTCCGCCGCCCCCCCCCCCTGGTTTTTTGTAGCTTCTGTAGATCAGGCTGGCCTTGAACTTACAGAGATCTCTACCTCCCAAGTACCACCACACACTGCCCAGCCTTCCTTCAACTTGTTAGTCTCAAAAGATGGCGTGAGAAAAGTTACCTTACCTAGCTTGGTCTTCTTTATCTGATAGGCCTCAAAGAGAACCTGGAGTTCTTGATATTTTTGGGTTAGGCGAGCTTTCCGAGCATCCAGTTGGGGCTGGTACAGAAGGTTTTCCTCGGCCAGGCTCCGGTTGCTAGCCAGTGTCATCTCTTTGTTCAGCTGAACAGTCTGCGTCTGCAAGAAACACACAGGCTGGTGAGAGCCACGGTGCTGCTTAGTTCATGGGCAAGTCCTGTGTGGCCCCCCTCCCCCATAAGGCCACTCTCAGACCCCACCCTGCTCTCCCAGATGGCTCCACGTGCTGGGCAGACACAGCCAAGCAGACTCCCGCCCCCTCTGCCTTCTTGTGGGCGCTCTCCCCATTCACAAAGGCTGAGGCCCACTTCTCTCCCCATGGCTCTGCACAGGGCTCTGGCTTCAATGGCTGCAAGTGACTTTTATTCTGTGCCGCCACCGCCACTGCCATGCAGGCAGAAGCAAACGGCTGTGAGGGTGAGGACTAGGTTGTCCCGAGCAAGCTCCTGCTGCTGCAGAGGAAGTCAGGGCCATTTTATCAGAGGGGTCTAAGTTGGCAGGATGTCAGCCTCAGATCAAAGGAGCCCAGCCGGCAGAGAGAGAGAATTATGTTTACAGTGACCGCTTCTCCCATCTTTCCCACGCCGACCAGCAGCTCTCCTGGGTCTTCCCCAAAGGAGAAGGGGCTGACTGTGCCTCTCAAGGGTTCCCTTCACTGACTCAAGGCTATCTGGCTGACAGATATCGAAAGCTGGCTGTGCGGACCTTGCAGTGGGAGGTCTGTGAAATGGTTAAGGACAAAGCTTGGCCACAATCTGTTCAAAGAGAAAAACAAGAAACAAATACATCTGCCCCTAAGTTCCCCATTCCCTCACTCGTGACATGCTTCCTCTGCATGGCCTGTCCACTTTCTGCATGTAAAGTTCAACCCTTCAACAAGGCGACATGTCCGCATCCCTTCCAGCGGCTCTTCAACCCCACCCAGCCATTTATTTTCCCTTTAATGTTTTCTGCCGCCCCACCCCGGCTATTCTTGCTCGGACTTCCTTCCTCTCCACATTCTGTATCTAGTCCTCTGCTCCCCACCTCCCCAGGCACACGGTGGTGCCGCCGGCACAGTCACACACAGTAGTCGTGGGGAAACTCCCAGAACAAAGGAAAAGCCTTGAATATCAGGTCCCCGGTCCCCACACAAGAGGCATTTGTTCAGCAGACACAGGCGGCAGAGCAGCTAGGACCACAGGCCCTAAAGACCTCACTCCTCTAAATGAGAGGACCCCAGGCACAAAGCCACTTGACTCCCCTAGCTCAACACTGTAAAACAAGAGCCAGCAGCATCCCCAAAGCTGGTGGCAAGCAGGGAGAATGTGCCAATGGAAGACGGTACTTTAAGGAGGGTCTCTGGGAGGCAGGTAGGGCTCCTGTACCCCATCTACCCCAGAGGCACCCTGAGCTCCCTCTGGGCTCTGTGCACTGATGGCCACGTGAGTCTTTCCTTCCATTGTTAAGCTGTTGGGAAGAACAAACAAAAAATAAACCCTGTACATCCACTCTGGTACTTCTTGTGAAACTAAACATGGAAATATCATCTGACCCAGAAACTGTACTCCTGGGCATTCATCCAGAGAAGCAAAAACTGGTGTGTGTTCACACACACACACACACACACACACACACACACACACACACACACCCCTACCTCTGCACTCGAATTTCCCAGTAAATTTGTTCAAAATAATCTAACCTTTGAAGCATGAGAACAGTCAGCTGTGACACATCCACACCATGGAGCGCTACCCAGCAATGAAAAGGGTGAGCGTATTATACATGAAACAACTCAAACAAAACCCCAGGGAATCACAGAAAGTGGTAAATGCCAACCCTGAAGGGCCATGTGTCCTAGGAGTCTCAAATACCAACATGGAGGGATGTGAGGTTTGTGGTGGACAGGAGGCTGTGAGCAGACAACCTCTAACTGGTGACAGAGGTCTCTATTCTGTGTCCTGTCAGGGTCAGGGCCAACCCCCTGGCTGTGAGACTCTACCTCTGGGGGATGAGGCGAAGGGACAGAGGCTGTGTCTTACGTGTAACATCTGACCCACAGTTATGCCAAAATCAAGCTTGCTCATAAGCAAACAAGCTGCTGTGGGTCTTCCCCTCCCACTGATACCGCCTCATGAGTGGCGAGGACCACACTCAAGGCCAAGGTGAGGACCAGGAAGGACGTGGCTTCCAGGTCTGATGCTCTGTGCTGTTACTCTTTTATTTGTTGTTTTGAGACAGGGTAGACAGGGTCTCATTGTGAAGGCCAAGATGGCCACAAACTTGCCCTGGCTTCCCAAGTACAGGGATTGAGACACCATGAACCACTGTAGTCATGTGGCTGAATTTTTTTGTTCCGTAAGCATTTGCTGAAAAGCCACCATCTTCCAGGCCTAAGGTGGGCAGAGAGAAAACTCGGGACAGAAATACTCTCCTGGAAACCGGCGTCAGTGGAACTGTGGCATCTGCCCTCTCTGTAAGGCCATTCTTGCCCCCTGCCCTGGAGCTGAGCCTGTTCTTTATACTGGGGGGGTGGGGGCAGAGACGCCTGACTGTTCTGAACTCACAGCCACCCACTGCCACTGCACTCATTCTTTCAACAGTAAGAAATGCCTCTTCTTGCTCACCGTCTGTCGCGTCCCATCAAAATCCAAGCTATTGGATGGTGCTTGGCACAACAGGTCTCAGCACATAGGGACCACTCAGTGAAATCTGCTGACCCACCAGTGTGCACCTTTCAGAACAAACCAAAAATCATCTGAGGCCAAGTCCCAACTGCAGAACAAGGCTGGGGATCCAGGCGCTTGCTGTTTAATCGTGTGCAAGGCCCTGGGTTTCACATCTATCATCAAACAACAATGCAGCGGGTAACAAAATATGGAGTAGGAAAAAGTGAGCTCTTGTCAAGGAACGCAGGGCATTGTACTGCAAAACTCTGTGTGCCTGCCGAGCTCTCTAAGAATGTCACTTGAGTCTAAGCCTATCTGGGAGCATGTGGGGTCACACACTGTGGGTAGTTTCCACAGCAGAATGTCCCTACAAGTTCTTAGCAGAAGCAACACAGTGGACTCAGGGTCATGAGGCGGGCGTGGGAAAGGTGACATTCAAGCATTCCCCTCAGTGTTTTAAAGGGGAGCTTTAAAAGGCCCAGTGCCTATGGGTTGGGGCACAGCTCATTAGCAGAGCACCTGCCTGGCATACACGCATGAAGCTCCAGGTACACACATACCCTGAATCCAGACCAACCCCTCCAGTCCACTGTCTGTAGGGTCCCAGGCAAAGACTTTTCCAAACTCTCAGGGGATCCCAACATTGGGCTAAGCTGAGACACACCACTTTTATTCTCTATAAAATGAAAATACAAAAATATCCTGTTCCCTGGAGGAACCCTCAGGATCACTTGCCCTATATAGCACCAAGTCCTGGTAGAAAACATAAGGAAGCCTGTACTAAAAACAAGACAATCATCTGACAGGCCTCTACGCCACAGCCACCCACCAATAAAAGAAGCCAAACAGATCCCAATGGTGACAGGGAGGCTGTTAAACTGGCTGTATTTTATATATACCCTTTGGACTCGCTGATGTTTTTTATGTGAACAAATAACAGCAAATCTAAGTGGCCGCCCAGAGACTGTCCCCAACCTCCAGGAGGGCAATGGTTGGGAGTGCTGTGGGCAGGCAGACCTTCTTTTCTTAGCTCTTTTTTGTTTTGTTTCTCTGTGGCTTTGGAGCCTGTCCTGGAACTTGCTCTGTAGACCAGGGTGGCCTCGAACTCACAGAGATCCACTTGCCTCTGCCTCCCGAGTGCTGGAATTAAAGGCGTGTGCCGCCGCCGCCCGGCCTCTTCTCAGCTTCTGTAACTTTGGCAGAGGCAGGGGACAGGATGGAGGGACCTGGGAAGCTCAGCAGGGCCACCCTGGCCCAGTAATGGATATGAGAATACAGAAAAGTCCACTTCAGCAGATGTTAGGCTTAAAAAGAACCCAAGTTGTTTACATCCTCGGCCTCATGGCAGCGAGGGCAGGAGACATTGCAAACTGAGACCGGCGGGGGCCAGAACCCTTGATCTTTTCCCATGGCCCTCCTTTTTTCTTAACCATAAAGAAATCTTTTCAGGAAATCATTTCTCTGTGGTGAGGAACCATTTTTGTAAATCTTCTCGGTTTCACTTCAGCTTCCTTTTCCTCCTACGGGAAAATGAGCGGTGTGTGACACATTTATCAGGGACCCATCTGTATGGCTACTTCTGCCCATGAGCTTGAGGCAGGCTGTCCAGGACATTTCTGAGGTAGTTAGCATGGCCATCCTGGCCTGGTGGAATCAGTTCACTTTCAAACTCTTTCTACTTTGAACTACCACTTGCTTCGTTTTAAAAGTCATGTAACTCAGAGGGGGAAAAATCATTTGCTTACAACAGACAAACACAAACAAACCCCCACCTTTTTTATGTTAACGCAAACAGAAGGCAGAGACCCTGGGAAAATAAAGTGCCTGCCTTTGAAATGAAGAGGTGGGAGGGCCAGCTGGAGACAGGCCAGCAGGGGAAGAGCCTGAGCACTGGGTTCAGACCCCAGTGCCCCCCAGTGCCCATGGAGGAGCAAGGTCTGGCTCACTCCAGGGCTGGGGTGACAGGCAGGCAGGCCCTGGAGCTCACTGGTCAGCTAAGCCAGCCTAAAACAGGTGAGCTCTGTATTCAATGAGACCTTGTCTTAAAAGATGGGGGGGAGGGGGGAGAGAGACAGAAAAACCCCAGTGCCAACAGTTAGCCTCCACCAGTGCACACATGCACACACAGTAAGTAACTGTCTGAGATGAGGAGACTATTAGGAAATAAACTGCAAGAGGAAACAGATGTAAGCTCTTCTCTGCCTGTGCAACACTTACAAATGGAGGACAGCAGAGACGCAAGGCTCCCTGAAGCCCTACTGGCTATGGCCAGGTCACGGGTGTGAGTTTCCAGTGGACAATGTCCACACCAGCTACTTCTCCAGGGTGGAACTGTGACCCAAGCTGACCAGGGTCTGTAATTATAACTGGGTCTCCCTAAATGCTAAGGCAGGTGAGTGCCCGCTTCCAAACTGTCTTTTTCGTGGGAAAGTACTCCTAGCAGTCCCT